CTACCTAGCCCCTCCACATCATCCCAGTGGGATTTTAGGCAGTGTCAGTGACAAGGATAGAGGCTATGCATGAACACAACATGGTGTCCCACTCACTGAGGCTGATGGACTCATTCCCACTGCTGAATATTCAACCTTTTGGTTTTAGATACCAACACTGAGCCCTTGCTCAGTACCGTCTCTCAAGGAAAGTAACCAGCCATTTGCTGGTAAGTCAATTACATCGGACTTCACTCTAAAAAGAGCAGTGATTTATCCTAACTAAAACTGATACCATTCTGGATATGGATTTTCCTTCTTTGCCTGCAATGCCTTGATCATCATCACTATTTGATGGCCCAGGGAATGTCTATTTACTGATCTAAGATCCTATGTACTATTCATACAAAAGACTCACTTTAAGACAAAGTACACGTGAAATGGACATGTGATGATATCAACTTTTCCTACCATATCTTGCATCATCTGGAAGCTTCTGACCTGATAGAATATTGGAATAGCCTCTAAAGGTATAAGTAATATGCCAGTTTGGGGATTAAACTTATAGGATTGGGGTATTGCTCTTCGATATGCTTGTAAACAATGGCCACAACATGATGCTATATTTCTAACAGAAGGCAAGAATTTGGGACCACATGGGTGGAACAATTACTGCTGGCAATAGACAAGAGGAACATTTGCTTCTTATTTCCACAATTTTAAGTTCCCCTGGTGTCCAGGGTTGGGAGACACTTCTGCTAGCAGACATAACTAGGTTTTTATAACCCTAAAGGTACACCTGCTGCCTGATCATTTGGGGCTCTCTATTGACAGGGACAATTGGAAGTTTCTATTTTTTCAGCAGTAACTAACCCTAGTCATTATGAGAAGATAAGATTATTGCTACATAGTTGGAGTAGTAAAGAGTATGTATGGAACTCAGGGGATTCACTGGAAAACCTCTTGGTACTTCCAAACTGTTGGTACACCTGAACCATTTATTCCAGTAACTACAGACTAACAAGGGCTAGTAATAAGGAACTAGAACCACTCAGCGATGAAGTGGTCCTATCCTATAAGGCAAACAACCTAGAAAAGCAGAATGTTGGCTGAGGATGAGGAGAATCTAGGTGGATGTTAGAGGAAGGAGATGATAAATATCAGTAATAGCTCTAGGACCATCCACAGCAGTGGGTACTGTAGCTTATGCCACTAATCCTCTTTATTATTTTTTAAGAAAATTTTACCACCCACCACATTCAAAAATAAGTAATGGAACAAAAATAAACTTCATATGGAGCACTAGCAGATCTCAGAAGTGAAAGGGAGGATCTGTAGCAAATGCTTTTGGGCCCCTTCCCATATACCTACTACATTTGTGGTTCCTGGTAGCACCAATAGCACCTATCTGCAAGCTCTCATGATTTTGTCTGAGAGCTTCATTTTCTCTCAATGAACTTGTATGCATTACCCACACATGAGATAGGATGGAACTGTTGGACAGTAAATCCCCAACAACACAAGCACCCCTTGACAAATATGAGCAGAAAAATATCTCATCTTCCTGGTCCCCAAACATAACAGATCTGGTCCTACAATTCCACCTGGTCTTCTGACATCTCCTACAGCATTGAGCAGCAATTGCCCACAGCAGTAATTTTCTCATTAATCAATCTTATATTGTCTTCCTTCCCTTCCTTGTCTTACTTCCTCACTAGGTGAGGAATGCGAAAGGCTACAGGAAAAATGTTGGACTGAATGATTTCTATATTCACTTCTACTCTAAAGTTCTACCCTGTGAAGACTAAATCTAAGACTCAACCTCTTTGGAATTTTTCCCCTCATGAGCCCATAACCAACTGAGCATATCTTAGTTCTTTCTTCTGCTTTCTCAGTACTGGCAGTGTGGACTCCTTTAATTCAGACTTATTTTGTTTTCCAGTTGTTTTAGAAGTCCCTGTCTGGTTGCCCCATCTAGACACCCACTCAAACCATATCATCTAAAATAGTGAGTTTTCAAGTATTTTATCCTCAAAGTAATACTAATAATTTCACCCAAGTACTCATAACAATCTCGTGAAGTAGGGTCTATTTTTATTGTTCTTATTCTGCAGAAGCATGAACTAAGACTCCAGGATATTAAGTTATTTCCCCAAGGGCACTCAGCTACTAAGTGGAAGTACCAGGCTTTGAACTCAGACACTCCGTCATCTTAAACATTATCCTCCACCACTTCTCAAGGACTATTTTTAATCATGGTTTTCCTTCATGAAAACCTTGTTTTGAAACATTTGTCTGCATAAACTAATGAGCTACAAATTACCTAACCTTATTAGGTACTGCTGAATTTATTTTCTTTTGTTTTAAATTAACCAAAGACATATAGAACTTCTAGCCATAACATTGAACTAACCAGTGTGATAACTAGAATGTAATCTCTACAAAACCTATTTGTTGAATGAATGAATGAATGAATGAATGGAAAAAGTTAGTTTATATAATTCCAGACAGAATTAAATACACTTAGCATTTAAGTTAGCCTCTGCAGCTTGGAGGTAGATAGTTTTCTATTAGGCTGTTCCAAGTATCAAATATTAAAAACAAATTCAACAAACCCCAAAACCTGCTGAAATCTAAGTGGTCTAAAGATTCCAAATGATAACTCCTTATCTACTGGACTCTTTACTTGGAGAGGTTCATGGTTTTTTGTTGTTGCTATTTTGCTTTGTGTTTTTAATTTTTTTGTTGTATTGGAGAAACTTGAATCTCTTTGCAAAGGACAAAATTGATTCCTCGGGAATATTCAGGCCCCAGTGGTAAGGAATGGAGCACTGAATCACATTTGGACTGTGGCTGGTATAAGTGATATCCTTGATCTCCTACTTGTCCGATATACCACGGTTATAATTGTCGCTTAAAAATATAAATCATATCCTATCACTCTCCTACATAAAACCTTTGTGGGGCTGCCAACATTTAGGTTAAAATTAAACTTTTTGCAATGGTCTATAAGACTCTATAAGACCTATTTTCCAAGCAAAATTCTACTTGAGTCTTTTCTTTTGGAAAACTGAATAACTCCCAGAAAATCCATGACATTTGGTGGATCTTCCTATCAAAAGGTGTTACTCACCAGTCAACCATTTAATAGTAGTCTACTGATCATTCTTAGACACAGAACTTTGAATTGGTCTCTTGGTGCCTCACAATGGAATGTGAATTGACAACTAAGGATTAGCAGGCATTTTAGGAAAGCTTCCAACATGAAAGAGAAAGATTTAAACAGGCAAACAAAAAAGAAACAAACAAGTCTATACTTAATATCTTCACAATTAAGAAAAGATACTGAAAATTTTGCCTCCATCAAACAAGGAGAGGATGCCATGAAAATAAAGGAACAAGTAGAGAAAAAGAAAGAACTCTTGGTAATTAACAATAGCCAAAATAAAGCATTTAATAGGAGGTTTAGAAGAAAGAGTCAAGGAATCTCTTGGAAAGTTTACAAAAGAACAAAGAGAACATAGTAAAGGAGGAAGAAAAATAAACAGGAAAAGTGAAGCAGAGGTTGATGAGGAGGTTTAATATCTTCCTATTGTGAGTAGCAGGAAATTTAAAAAATACAGAAGCAATCAATTCATCAGAGAATGTATATAAGAAAATGTCCCAGAACTAAAAAACATAAATCTCCAGAAAGAAAGGGAAGGGGAGCTATCAAAAAGATAAATCTTTATTTACTCAAACACAGACAGCTAATGTCTAAAGTTAACAAGCTAAGAAGCAGCAGTATAAGCATGTTGTTTAGAAATTTGGACGTAAATACCAAAACAAACAGATAGGAGAGTTGAAATAAATCCCTCTGAGAAGTAAATCTGGAGAATAGGAAGAGGTACACAAGGGGCTGCTGTTTATATACATACATACCTATATATGTACTTTTTGCTATTTCAAAATATGCACATGTATTATTTAATACTTCAAAATATAAAAATAAAGCTACAGCATAGAGACTAATTTTAAAAGATTTGTTCCAAGGCATTGTTTCTTTCCTTGACCTTTTGGTAGCACCTTTCAGGAATATTTCCCTCACAGTATTCCTTTTGGACTGCTGTGGTTAATGTGATTTATGGCATCTTCCTGATGTGATTCTTATGGAGGTGATCTGAGGACCACGCTTTGAGTAACTGGTGATTCCAAAGGATTCCTTGCAACTGAAATTATTATAGCTCAGCTAGGGATACTGCAGGGCAATTTAAGGGAAAAACAAACAAAAACAAAAAAATAATTAAGTGTGACTTTTGTCTCTTTCTTTGTCCTATATCTTCCATGGGAATTGTGGAATTAGTCGTGATTATTGGAAGTCCTGGTAGAATATTCAGGCCACTGGGTACCATCATTTCTCCTATCTATTCCCTGTAGATATGGCTGACAGTATCCAAGAGAGCAGTTTACCTAGTGTTAATAACTCAGAAGATACCTAAGAAACACTTATGAAAAAGAGAAAGGGAAAAGAGGAATGGGACAGAAAGGAGAGATATGCAGGAAGCACTCAATTTTTTCATATCTGAGATACTGTCAAATTAACAATAATAATCCATTAGGTAGAGGTTGGGTCTACATATTGAAAACAGTTTAATTGTTTTGGCTTTGATAAAAGACCTTCAATCTATAGTTATCGAGTATTTAAACGAGTGGCCGGCATAAGATGTAGAAAAAACCCCAAACATAAGCAATGACTAATGCCCATAAGTACTTTAAATTCTCTTCCAGAATACAAAGTTGATGCACATGAAACAAACAGAAAACAAGTATGTAGCTACTATAGGAAGTCATTCAGGCAGTGAATACAAAACATTGCTTATCAAACAGACCAGAAGTTAATAGAGAAAGAACCTTCAAGAGACAGTTAGATGTGGGTAATCATAGCACATGAAATGCTACCTATATGAAAGCATATTTCATATGTTCTTTTACATACTACTCATAACTACCTTAAAAGTAATTATTATTATTATTGCCTCCATATTAATAAGAAAGACAGAGAAATTAAACAACTTGTTCGATTCCCACTATCAGGGTGACAATAGAATTTTCACCACCTGATTCCAGACGTTAAGTCTGCTCACTTACTGCAGAGCTCTGGAGAGCAGCTAAAACAGAGAGAGGTGAAGAAGAAAGGAGAAGCCATTATAAGTGAGAAAAAAGAATCTGAGCTTAGATGGGTACAGGAGGAGGCACAGCAGAGTCAGTGCTGTGAAGGACCTGTTTGGGAGGGAGCCTGGATGATTTGGGCATTTGTGAGCTTTAGAGTCAGACAGAGTGGGATATAAATTACAGCTCTGCAACTTACTGACTGTATAGGAGAAAGGGAGAGTTCCCCAAGCCTCTGCTCCCTCATCTATAATATGGGATAGCGTCCTCCAAGATTTGCTGTGAGATTTTGGTGACACGACTTATATTTTTAAAGAGCATCACTCATACATTTTTATTTCCCTTTTCCTGATTGGAGCAGGTTATTACTGATGGTAGGAAATAGTGAGTGGTTGTTGGTCACAAACACCTGGTCTAATCCATCAGTCAAAACAACCACCTGCACTAAAGCAGGGTTGTACATTATTCATTGGATTTTGACAGGTTCTTTGGTTGTTTTATTTTGACCAGCTCAAGTCAGTCCAAACAGTTTGTGCAGCTCTAGGAAACAAGCTGGGTTTGGCCTGCACATTTTGGCATCCTGAACCACAGGATCAAGGTGGGGAGGGGTGTGGGGAGAGGTCTGGTGGTGGGGAGGGAAGAATGGAAAAGTACCCGGCAGTGCCTCCTGAATCCAACTTCCTGCTGGCGAAATCCACCTCTTGCTGACTCTGAGTCACCGACAGCATGCCTTCCCTCCCCTGCGGCCCATCCGCCCATTAGGCCCGGCAACTCTCCTCCTAGGCTGGCTTCCCTCGCTCGCTCCCACACGTGTGCTCAAGGTGGAGGCAGCCCTAATGAGGAAACACAAGGCAGCTGCTGTGGCAGGCATCTCTTCCTCAGCCAGCAAAAGGAGGCCTGCAGCAACCTTGCCTGCAGGGCCTGCCCGGGCCCACTGCCTTGCAGGTCACCCTGCACACGGGCTGCCCTCACCCCTGTGACCTGGAGCCCTCCCATAGGATGGGGAGCCTTGGAACCCAAAGACACCAGAGCTGCCTCCCTGGTGAGGAGGAACCCCTGTAAACTTGTTCTTGGGACTTGTCCCATGTATTAATGTAGGGGCAGACCTGAATGCAGTGTGATTTCATGAGCACTAGGAAGACATTCACCACAAACTCTCCTTGAAGATACTGTTCCTCGGCCTGATATCAAGATCCTCAATAATCTGCCTTTTCAATCTGTTTTTCAAAATGGATCTCTGCTCTAGCTTAGCATTTATTATGAACTTGATGAATCAATCATAAGACTGCCCTGTGACACTTGATAGAAATACAGACTCCAAGATTCTGACTCAGTAGGTTAGGGTGGAGCTCCAGGGTTCTGTATATAAGACCTTAGTTTGTTCTCCTGATCAGGTAATGTGGGAAGATGGCACTAGCCCAGTGGTTTTCTGTGTCCTGGGTGAGCAGTTCTAAGGCTCAGCTGAGGTGCCTCAATGGTCACATTAGGGGAGAGGAGAAGTTGCAGTGAGGGGAGCTCAGAATCTCAAAAATCCCCCTGTCATGGGTTGAACTGGGTCTCCCCAAAAGAGATATTGAGTTCTAACCCTAGGTTCCTGTAAATGTGACCTTACTCGGAAATAGAGTCTTTGCAGATATAATTTGTTAAGATGGGATTGTATTGGATTAGGATGGGTTCCAAATCCAATATAACTAATGTCTTAATGAAAGGAGGAAATGTAGATTTGGATGTAGAGACCCAGAGAGACACAGGAGTAACGCCATGTGAAAATGGAGGCAGAGATTGGAGTCATGTTGCCACAAGCCAAGGAGCACCAAAAATTGCTGGCCACCAGAAGCTGGAGAAAGCAAAGAAAGGTTCTTCTCTAGAGGCTTCAGAGAGAGCCTCGCCCTTCCAGCACCCTGATTTTGTATGTCAAGCCTCCAGTACTGTGAGAGGATAACTTTCTCTTGTTTTAAGCTACCAAGTTTGTGATAATTTTTTATGACAGCCGTAGGACATTAATACATTCCCCCTCAGGTTGTCTTCTCTCTATCACATACATACATATGCACACACGCGCACACACACACATTCACCCCCACGTGCCCTTCAACTAGAGCAGCTTGGTTATTTTGATTTATGTTATATTTTGGAGTTCAGCGTAATCTTTCATTTGGAGAAGAAATAAAAGGAGTTTTACTATAACCAAAGTTTGAAAACTAACCACTTTGGCCAAACTGAACCATAAGCTATTCTCCATGGATACCTTGAAGTCTTTTGAGGCCTATTTGTACTCACTATGTTCTTTACATCTGGACATTTCACCTACTTTTCACCTGTTAAAATATTAGCCAACCAAGAAGCTCAACTTGAATATAATCTCCAGAAAGTCATGCCTGATATCCCTTCAATTAGATGTGATTTCCTCTGCTTTTGAATTCCAACTGAATTTTTGGATCTTCTCTTAGAGCATCTACTTTAGTCAACATTCCATTCTAGCCACATGTGAAATGTTTTAGTATCCACCTTGACTGTATTCTGGGCTCTGATTTTTGTATTCTTCTCCCTACTCTCACCCAGTGCTTTCCAGAGTGTCTTTCATAGAGCAGGTGGTATCCAATGAGCATTATTTGATAGAAGCTTGTGGTGAAATTTTACAAAGGGCCCTATTCATTTGGGTTTATTGTGTTGTGTAGGTGTGATTATGATCTCATGATAAAATAAAACTTTTGCAATGTTTCTCAATTAGATATTAATTTCAAATTCCCAAATAACTGTATCCACCAAAACATGCCCAGACTTCAAAAAGTTTCCCTGGGCCATTCCCTTTGCTAAAAGATTGCTTGTTTTATCTTATTTTTTTGAAAAATAGCAGAAATATTTGATTCCATCCTAATAATCCAAGACAATGGGTTCTTACCATTAGAACCAAGCAAGTACTGAAAAAAATCCAAAAAAATGATGTCTACACTTGAATTTGATAGTATCTTTATTATATTTTAATATATATTAAATGCAGCCAAGCATTATTTAATTGTTTATCTTATTTCACAAAAGTCCAAATTTCCTTTTCTGTTTGTCTCATGGATGCTTGAAAATCTTGCTGTACTGCATGATTTCTTTGGATTAATAAAGACTCTTTTACTCCTTTATGTATATTCAATAGATTTTCATTGGGCAATTACAGTGTAGCAGGTTTTATGGTAGATGTGTATAACTTAAAGATGATTAAGGTAAAGACTCTGTCCATGTAACATTCAAGGAATAATAAAGGTGGCTATAGAAGCTGAAAGAGATTGATATGACTGCAGGTTGAGGCAAAAACCTATTCTGGAAGCTAACCTAAGAACCCTAAGACAATATATTTTGTGATCATCAGACTCTGTCTCCTGAAGATAAGTGGCAAAGTATGTCAGATAGAAGGCTCTAATAAGCTAGATACACAATTAAATAATTAGAAATATAATTGTCCAGACTCTCCCAATATTCAGATATCTTGTTAACTGAGATTTTCTTTTCTATGAAGATAATGAAGGAAATGCCAAAAGGGCTCTTGATGTGGAGAATGCTATTTTACACCGTGTGCTGCAGAGGAAATGGAGACTATTCTGGTCAATTGGCTAACAGCACTATTTTTCAGGTATCAACAATGTTCTCTATTTAGTCATCGAATGATCTCCATCAGGTTACCACGTCTTGGTGCTATTCTATTTTCATAAGTGTGCTTTCGTCACCAACACATTTTCATCCTTCTTAATATTTCCAATGGCATCACTTCACTCCACCAACGTAAAAAAACAAGCAATCTAAAAATTATCCTCTGCTGTTTCCCACTCATCCACAGAGAATGAAGTTGCCATTTATGGACACTTGCTGTTGCCATGTTTTTCAGAAAGTTTGCCATTCCACAAGCTGTTTTTAGCCCCCATACCCACGACACTTCTACAGGCATTTAGTATTTCTTTATCTGACGCTTTTCCAAGGCAATACCTCCGCCTCCTCATTGAATCATGCAGGCTGTCTCTTAATCGAATGATATTTTTTGAAGTGTTTCCTCACTGGAACCCAGAAGGTTGTTTCTCATATTTTCCCCCACACCTGCTTTGTACACTAACCTAAGGAGAACTACTTACATGGTTTATTGTCCTTTTTGGAACAGAAATATGATATTTGTCATTTCCCCATTCTCCACAATCTGGCCCAACAGTTGAAAGTGTCTAAAAATATAAGCTAATACTTCGTTATTTTCTTGCTCTGTAGAAAATAATATATTTACTCTGTTTGTATCTGGTGTTCTATAAAAGACTGGCCAAATTCAAAACTCTATGGTGCAGGATGACAGCTTGAAAACTAGCAGCAGAAAGATATATTCAAATCCCATTGATCAGAGATGTTCACAGGGACATCCGAACCTCAATTTTCTTGTCTGCAAAATAATAGAGTTGGGTAAAAGTTAAATGAGATATTGCACTGCAGGTTACATATCCAACACACTGTGTGACACATATTAGTAAACCAACAGTTTCTCCAATGGTAGAAATGTCATAACTATGGCAGGGTGCTAGAACAGGTACCCATGCCTAGGATGGCCATTCACTACCCATGTTATTGTAGTGTTAAGATAAAAGAAATTATTTTATTAATGTTAGAAACAGAGTTTTTCTTAAGAAGGTAGTTTTTCTTTAAGAAGAAAATCTTGATAAGTCCCTTGGAGAGTAGAAAATGAAACCTATCATACAATGGATGAAAGCAATGAAAAAAAAAAAAAACAATTCAACCACTCATCAAGATGAAGGAACTAAAATTTAGGGATGGGAGAAAGCAGAAAAAGGAAAAGAAGAAAACAGGAAAATGAAGAGAGCAGAGAATCATGGTGAGTGATTGGAGTTCAAGTTAGCCAATGTGGCCAAGTGACTTTTTGAAGAAGAAAAATGAGAAAATGTTTAACAATCAACTTAAGCTGTTGTTATTTTATGATATAAGCCCCTTTCATGTCCTTGAAGCTTAACTTTCACACAAAGTTCTGGAAGAATGCTTCATTGCTTGGATTTTGTTGTGGAATGGTTGTGGACATCAAGGAACAGAGATAGAATTCTCCCTCTGAGATAAAACAACAGGTAGAGCAGGTATGAGATAGTGAAATAATCTATCTGTGAGTACAAGAACTCAGATCTGGAGAGGACCATGAGAATATAAGTTCTCTGGAAGCTTGCAGAAAGCTTAGAGAAGGTAATATTCTTCCCACAAGACAAGAGAAGGGGGCTCTAGAACTATTATCTAGACCAGAGTTGGCAAAGTTTTTCTCTAAAGAGCCAGATAGTAAATATTTTAATTTGTGGGATATGTGGACTTTATTGCAACTACTCAATTCTGCACTGTAGCAGAAAGGCAGACATAGACAATATGTAAACAATTGGGTATGACTGTGTGTCAATAAAACTTTATTTACAAAGACATGTGGATGGCTAGATTTGGCCCATGGACAATAGTTTGCCAACTGCTGATCTAGACCAAGGGTCAGCAAACTACCATCCACAGACCAAATGCAGCCAGTGTCTGTTTCATTTACGGCTCTGTGAGCTAAAAATGTGTTTTACTTTTTAAATGATCATGTTTTAAATGATTATATAAGTACTTACATAATAAAGTATTTTGCTTCTTGTCCTGCAAAGCCTAAAATATTTATTATCTGACCCTTTAAGAAAAAGGTTGTGCTGTGGATTGAATGATTGTGTCCTCCCAAAATTCATATGTTGAAATCCTAACACTTGATATGATAGCATTTGGGAGGTAATTGGGTCATGAAAGCAAAGCCCTCATGCCAATGACATTTATGACCTTATGAAAGAAGAAAAGGCACAAAATCTTGCTTCCTTTCTCTTTTCTCCACCGTGTGAGGATATGAGAAGATATTCATCTGCAAACCAGGAAAACTGCCATCACTAGACAGTGGATCTGCCAACACCTTGATTTTAGACTTCTCAGCCTCCAGATCTATGAGAAATAAATTTCTGTTGTTTATAAGTCTATGGTATGGGTATGGTTTGGGTATAGCAGCCTGAACTAACACAATTTTCCAACCCCTATTCTTAACCATAAGGGCCAGGTGACACCTGAGTTCCATGTACATTGGGTCAGAATTTCTATCCCTTGTGTTAAAGACCAAAGTTGGCATTTGGGGGAAAATTTTTTGTGGACTTTTAAAATATTCCTCAAAAGCCATCTTCTGCAACTCAATAAAAGGGTCCACCATATACATAGCTACAAAAGCACATAACCTGGGAATCTTCATCAATTTTCTCTCTCTTAACCCCTCATTTAAGGAACCACAAAGACCTGTCGATTCTATTTTGAAAATATCTACCCTAAGCTAACCTACTGCAATTACCATTGATGTTATCCTAGTCCATGCTATCTTTCATCCCTTACCCAGATAACTACCAAAGCCTTCTTCTTAACCCCACCCCAAAATGATCTGGGCCACAATAGAAGCCAGAGGGATTTTTTTTTTTTTTTTTTAGTTTAAGTTCCATGTTACCCATTTACATAAAAATTTCCAATAGTTCCCTTATTTCATTTAGAATTAAAATCTAAACTCATGACCAGGCCTGCAAGGTCCTGGAAGATCTGTCCCCTACCTGCCTCTCAAACATCAAATGATGTGATCTAAGCCCACCTCACCTGGTCAGGGGTCCTTTGCCTTCTGTCATTTCCTAGGACTGGGCCAAGCTCTTTCTCAAAACAAGGTCTTTGGGACTTTTTCTTTCCTGTGGCTACAGTTATTTTCCCATGGCTTTTCACATGGGCGACATGCTTTCCTCATTCAGTTCTCAACTTGAGTATCACTTCATCAGAGAGCACTGTCATAACTCTCTAAAGTAGATCTCACGCCCCACGATAATCCACCCTACACCTTGTTTAATCCTATATAATGAGTTCACTTCCCTGTAAGCTCCATGCAGGGTGCCCTGTACTTGGCACAGTGCTAGGCACTCATTAGTAAGCACGCGTTAATCTGTGCTGAGCAAATGACAGAATGCAACAAAGTTCATATAAATAATCAGAGAACAGCCCAACATTTTATTGTAATTTGGCTGTTTATAAAACCTTTCAGATCCATTAACTCATTTAATCCTCAAAGAAACTCTGGCTGATAGTTATTTGATGCTTATTTATAGATAAGGATAATGAACCTCTCAGAGGTTGAGTAAATTATGTGAGATCACACAACAATTAGGGGAAAATCCAGACATGAGAATCGTATCCTCTCACTTTAAATTTGCTGCTCTTTTCAACACAACTGTATAAGCACCTACCAAGAGTCAGGCACCACTAATGTGCTGTGGCCTCAGATGTGATTCTGTAAAGCCTCAAGGGTGCAAAGCCCAGTAGGAGAGACAAAAGTAACTTTGATAACAGGCGGGATATGACAAAAGTACTAAGTATGCTATAAAGTATTTTGTGAAAAAAGAAAGAACTTCTGGGTCCAGGGTCATTAAGAAGAGTGTATTAGCTTTCTGGGGCTGCCATACCACCAACTGGGTGGTGTAAAACAGCAGAAACTTACTCAGTTCTAGAAGTTAAAAGTCTGAAATGAGGTGTCAGCAGGGCCATGCTCCCTCTGAGACCCTGGTTGGGGTCCTTCTTTGCTTCTTCCTAGCTTCTCTCGTACCACTCACCTATCCTTGGTATCCCTTGGCTTGCAGTGGCAGCACACTGATCTCTACCTCTGTCATCATATAGCATTCTCTTTGTGTTTCTCTGTCTGTGTTTCTGTTTTTCCTTCCTATAAGGACACAAGTCATATTGGATTAAGGCCCCCTCTAATGAAGTTTGACCTCCTCTTAACCTAATTACATCTGTAAAGGCCCTATGACCAAATAAGATCACATCCAAGGTACCAGAGGTGAAGACTGCAACTTATCTTTTTGGGGAACATATTTCAGCCCCTAATAGAAAGTCTTCCAGGGGAGATTATAGGACAATATTTTGGAGGTAATCATTCTTAAAGTGGGTAAAGAGGATTTTTTTGGTCATGTTTCTGCTAGGATAAAGCTGCAAAATAAACAGCCCCCAAATCTTGATGACTTCTAATAAACATTTTCTCACTAATGGGTCTGCAGGCTGGCCAAGGCAGCTCCGCACAGAGTATCAGGTCATGGTTTAGGTCTTCCAGTCTCTCATTGTAGAACCTGGGCTCCCTGGGGTATGCTCTTCTCTTAGTAAACAGCCAAAGTGCAAGAGACCAAGCAATGCAGGCAAACACAGGAAAGCTTCTGCTTGCATCACCCTGGCTACTGTTGCAGGGACCAAAGAAAGTCACATGACCTAGCCCAACATCCAATGGAGCCTTTAGTGGGAGGCACATGGCAAAAGGAGTGAAGAATTGAGAACAATCAATGTTTTACAAGATTTGTCACCAAATATTTACTCACAGGGGCTCTTATACTTTTCAAGGAGCTCAGAGATAGAAACTCTGACTGCAACTTTCTTCCAGAAGCCTTCATGAAGTTCTTACATATGGGGATCTTTATTTATACTGTGCAACGATAACATGTCTCAGATGAAAAATGTCCTAGAAATCGAAGTATTACATAGAACTTTCTAGCATTAATGAGAAACTAGTTTTCCCAAGTGCTCATGTTCTATATTTTTGTCTTCAGTAATGGCCAAAATGGGCCTTGCCAGTGTAATATACAAGAAGGGTATTGCAGGGACAATGTTCCAGAAGGCCAAAATGAAGGGAGAGATGTCTTACGTGAGGTCATTGGGAAGAGAACAAGCCTAAGAAATAAGAACCAGTGGAAACACTTACAGGAATATTAAAAGTCAGAACCGAGTGAAAACTACAAAAGAATCAAGTGTTGTTTTACTTGGATGGATGAGGTCAAGCAGAGACTAAGCAAGAGAGTGAGGGGGGTCCTGGAAGTTGCCAAAAACATCTCCTAGATGTCCTCAGCTCCCTTTCAGTGACTGGCACATATATATATGGCCCATAGGCTTGTCCCACCAGAGGAATATAGAGTCAGAGTACACACGTTCCATCTGAATACCCACAGTACAGAGTAACGTGAAACACTAATTTTGTTTTTCTGGAAGAACCCATTCTACTCCAGGAAAGAATGTACTATTGAAAGGTGTTGACAGAATAGAGCTACAGTAGGGGAAATTCCCTGTCAGTCAGTATGAAATGAGTCAAAGGGGCCTGGAATGGTTGAGTGAGAACTTTGCATTTAAATAAGTAGAAAGTTAGCGCATGCCCCTGCTGTATTTACAGAGGTGCTTCCTAGAGCCAAAATGAGTGCAAAACTCTAGGTTTTCTAGGGATATTTTCAGATGAATCCAGAGAATGAAGGTTCCTTGAAATGATAGCACCCAAGAAATACTAAAGCCACCGGAGATTTTTTAGCCTTGGGGACCCACAGGGAGCATCTATGAATATTTAATGGATTTTCTGATGGAAGAGGGAGAGGACCTGTTCCAAAAGATAGCCCAATGGATAGATATTATATTATCAGTTCAAACTATGTAATGAGAACTAGTGAGCTTCTGTAAAGCTTAAATGCAGAGGCAGGTGAGGTGGGGCTAAGGAGGGCAATTTGGTCTAGGTCTCATCTTCATAAGAGCCTCAAGTCAAAATTTTTAGCACTATCATTATACGATGTTTTATATTTAATCATTGTGTTACTTCCATAGTGTTTTCTATATGTATGTCAAAAAGATTTAATGTAAATATTACAAATGCAAAATAACCCTGGCTGGGAATTTTTTTTTTTTAAATATTTTACAAACCTCAAAAGGAAAAATGACTCAGATCCTTCTCAACCTGTAAGAAGCATTTGTTCTCCACCACTTACATGGTTTGAAAAGGAGAGGGCTTCTATGTAGGATATGGGGATTTGTGTGTTGGGTATAGTATTGGCCTAGATGTCTAAGACTTCATCCAACTTCGACATTCTTTAATTCTAACTTCCCTAGGCTCTACTCTGCTTATCTGTAAAGGAGGTTGAAAATGTTCAGTGTTTCTCAACACAGAGTCTGAAACAACACTACCCATTTCTGGAAAGTCCTCTCCCCCTTGCCAACCCCACATCCCCCAGGAGCTTAACAACACATACTTCTCCTTCTGGTTTTAATTTGAATGTCAATTCCTCAGATTAAACTTGACTAATTTATCAGATTAGGTTAAGACTTCTGTTAGACACATACCTACCTACCTCACTTAAACTCCATGAGGGGCTGGAATCACTTATCATCATGCCAACATTGAGTACATAGCACAGTGTCTTGTGAACAGCAGAGGCACAATGAATAGTTATTACATAAATAAACAAATTACTTAGAATATTATTAGGTGTCAAGTGAGAAATACTGTACTAATATATTTAACAGGTTTCTTTATTACCATTTTCAGAGTCTTCTATATGTGAAAGACTATGGAAAGGCAATGAAAATGAGATATATACATTTGCTCAATTCTAAGATATGCTTTTTAAAAAAAATTACATTTTTTAAATTGAATGTGTTTCTTATAATATAGTGCTTAATGTGCTTCTCACTCTACCTACAGCTCCATCAGAATATGTGCTTAAATCATAATAATCATTTCCTGTAATTAGTAGTGTCATAGAATTAAGGAAACCCATTAGTGTAGAGTGTTTCTCAAATGCAGTTGATTACGGAATCCTTTTTTACAGAGCTTCTCCTGGGACTAGTGTTCTCTGGCATACATTTTGGGAAACACCGGAATAGAACACCACTTCCAAATATACTAACTTTTGAGTCTATTGGCCAGAATTGGGGAGCAATATGCTGCAGATGAAACGAACAACAAATTATGACTCCTAAGACATGAATATTCCTCAGCTTGCTTAGTAACCCCAGCCAAGTCACTTAGGCTTTCTGAATCTCAAGCATTTTATCAGTAAAAGAGGGACAATGATATCTGCCCTGCTTACCTCACAGGACTATTATTAGAGAATAACAGGAAAGTAAAATGTAGAGAGGTCAGATTCTGGTTAAAGATATTAAAATGAACAAAGAGTTTATGTTCCTTTCTTCCCAAAAATACACTGGAATGACAGTAAAGTGATCTTTTTAAAAGGGCTAAGCTCACACACACACACAAAAAAAAAAAAAAAAAAAGGAAGGGAAAAAAAAAGCTACATTTTGGAAGCTGGAAGGCAGATGGATGAGTGATAACTGATTCAACAGATCCTAAAATACTGAAACCTAAAGAGGAAAACAGATAAGTAACTTAATTTGCACTCCTCAGCCCCAGAATATAATTGTAGGAATGAAATCTATGAGAAGGCAAGAAAGAGAGATCTAGAGCAAAAAAAGGATGTGAGGATCTTCCCACTTGAGGAGAAAATGGAGAGAGAGAGAGAGTGAGAGATAAAAAATAAATGCCCCAGAACTGACATATGTTTCCTCATTGAAAGTGCCTACTGGGTGCCCAACATGATGAACAAAAGAGAACTACCACCATGATGCATCATGGTAAAATCTCAGATTCAGTAGATGAAGATAACTGAAAAGCAATCTGGGGTGGGAGTGAGGAGACAGAATCAGAATGGAATCAAACATCTTGACAACCACAATTAAGTTGATCATTCGCCTGATGTGTTTGAGCATATTGATAATAGATTTACACTTATACAGAGAGTTTGATGATAAATTAGTGATTGGTGTATAGAAAACAAATAAAATCAGTACAGTTATTTTTCTTTTAAAATAAAAAATTTTGAAAGAAAGGAAATGTAATTATTGCATACCACATCATTCAACTGCAAAAATGTGTTTGTAAAATTGTAATAGCATAAACATTGAACATAAATATATCCACAAATTTTGATATAACTATATTCAAAGGAGAGTTCATTATTTTTCTATTATAGCATGAAACATTATCATGAATTTAGCATCTTAAAATAACACACATTCCCTAACATTTCTATGAGGCAGAAGAAGTTCAGGCACAGCTTAACTGGCGCCTCTGATCCAGGTCTCACAGGCTGCAATTGAGGTTTCAGCTGGACTGCATTCTCATCTGGAGGCTTGACTGGGGAAGAATCCACTTCCAAGTTCATTCAGGTTGCTGACAGAATGTATTCCTTATGTCTGTAGGATTGATTCACGGCAGCTTTCTTCTTCAAAACAGCAAGGAAGAAGGGAGTGAGTCTGCTAGTAAGATACAGTCTTATATAACATGACATAACATAATCCTGCACGTACCATACCATCACCTTTGTCATAGTCTATTGCTTAGATGCAAGTTGTACAACTATTATCAAAACTCAGTTTTAGAACATTTTCATCATATTAAAAGACCCTTCATGCCCACTTGCAGTCAATTCCAGTTCTCACCCCCAATCCTAGCCAACCACTAGTGTGCTTTCTATCACTATAAATTTGTCCCAGCTCCTCCATTTTTTGTCACCTAAATGAGCCAATCCTAAACCTGCTTGCCCTTTTCCTATCCTGCATCCTTTTACTTTTTTTTTTCTGAGTTGCAAGGGGCTAACTCTGCTGGCTCCATTCTCAAATTTCCCACATCACCAGCTTCTCCAGCAGCTATTGAGGTTCCTCCATAAGTCTGCAACTCGCACTTGGTAATCCTACTGCGATTTCAGCTTTATTCTTGTGGTCCTGATCCCTAGCCTCCAAGAGCATAGCCTCCTCCTTTTGCCTCTCCAGCCTTAGGGTTGCTGGAGCTGACTCTTGCTAACTCATGAGAGTCAATGGTTAAGTTTCGGGGAAACTTTTGCAAGCCTGCTATTAAACCATTGGAAGCTCAAAATTGACCACAATAGTAGTATTTATATCATCAAAAATACTAGAAATCATGGTATTTTTGTTAGTTTTATTTTTTGGAGAGCTAGCTTATTAGCATACCACGGCTTAGCTTCTACCACTTGCTAATCTCTGGATCACCTCCTGTTGTATCCAGCCTCCAAGATGTATCCCAATATCTTTGCCTTCTGGTATTTACACTCTTATGTAGTCTTTCCCTCCCCCTTTGAATAGAACTGACTTGTGTAATCATTAGATTATTTCAGAAATAATAATTTTTGACTAGCAAGGTGAAGTCATAAAAGGCAGTATGGATTTTGCCTTATTGTCACTTGAATCACTCCCTCTGGGGCCAGTCAGCTGCTATGTCATGAGTGATCCAAGCACCTGATGGAGAGGTCCCTGTAGTGTGGAACTGAGGCCTTCAGCAACAAATCATATTATCGAGCCAGCTTGGAAGCAGATCTTTCAGCCATATCCAGCTTTCAAATAACCACAACCCAGACTAGTGTCTTCACTACAACCTAACAACAGACGCTGAGCCAGAACCAAACAGCAAAGCTGTTCCTTGATTCCTGACCACAGAAACTCTATAAGACAATAAATTATTATTCTTGGTTAAGTCACTAAGTTTTAGTGTAAATTGTTATGCCAACAACAGGCATCTAATACAGATTTTGGTACCAAGAGAGATGTGCTACCATAACAAAAGCCTAAATTATGAGAGTGACTCTGAAAATGGACAGTGGATAGAAACTGGAGAGAATTTGAGAAAAGTATCAGTGAAATCCTGAAGGGTCTCAACAAGCTGTCAGTAGAAGACTTTGTGGACGCAGCAAGTGAGGGCTTACAGGAAAGTGAAGAAAATAGTATTGGACCCAGAGGAAAGGGGCCCCTCATTATGTAATGGCAGGAAAGTTAGCAGCTCTGTCTCCTTTAATAACATGAGAAATATGAAGCATGTCTAATGACCTGGGTGAGCTAGCTCAGGAGGCTTCCAGGCAGAGTGTTGAAGGGGCTGCCTCATTTCTTCTGCTGTGTATAGTAAAATGCAAGCAGAGAGTGAAAAGCTAAAGGAAGAGCTGATGAGAAAAGAAGCCAAGAATTGCTGGGTTTGAAAATTCTCAGCATCTTTACACAACTTATAATACTAAAATTAAGAAACAGTTTCTGGGCAAAGATCAAATCTAGGACACTTTTGGAAAAATATAATCTAAAGATGAAGCCAAAGGTGTGATCTCAGAAAGATCCTAGCCAGTGCCTCAAAGAACCACTCAATCAAGTAACAGAACTTCTAAGCAGCTTAAGGATGTTGGCCCTCAGCAATCTCACAGCAGCCTAAGGAACAGAAAGCCCTATCTCAAAGAAATGTGTGGATATGGCCTTTGTCTATTTAATATTTAAGAAAGAAGAGACAAAAGGTGCCTACCTTAACCCTGACTGAACATGTTAGTCTGCAGACTTGGCAATCCCTGGAGAGACTTCCGCCTCAAAGACAGCTGAACCTTGTGTGCCCTGAGTGACTCCAGGGAGCATCTGGCCCAGGACAAGTCACCGTACCATAAATGTAAATTTGCTTCTCAGCTCTGCTTTCAGAAATGAACTTCCAGCTTATCATAATCTCAATTCACTTGCAGAGGGGCTTCAGTGTAACCCCTGGCCCTTCTTCCCTCAGTGGCCCCATTTCTACAATAAGAGGAAGGGACAGTGACAATGGGATAAAGAGAGAGGCAAAGAGAGAGAGCAGGTAAGGAGTTCTTAAAAATTTAAGCATAAGATGCCTTCACTCTCATCCTAATTCCTCCCATACATAGTAGGAGTCCCTGAGAGAATAAATCAGCTTAAATCTAAGACAAATAAGGGAATCAAAGACAGTTTGAAATTCAGTGGAACAGAGCTGTTAGTGTACCTATCACCCAAATAGTGTTCACTGTACTCATTAGGTAGGTTTTTACTCCTCCACCCCTCCCCCTCCTTGATTTCCAATGACTTTTACTTCTCTCTGCACCCGTGTGTGCCCATTGCTTAGTTCCAAGTAATTAGAGAGTATATGTGGTGTTTGTTTTTCCATTCCTGAGATAATTCACTTAGGATAATGGTCTCTAGTTCCATTCACATTGCTGCAAATGTCATTAATTCACTTATTTTTATGGCTGAGTAGAACTCCATGGTATACATATACCACATTTTATTAATCTACTCATGAATTGATGGGCACTTAGGTTGATTCCTTTGTGACTGTGAATTGTGCTGCAATAAACATTCAAGTGCAGGTGCCTTTTTGATAAAATAATTTCTTTTCCTTTGGGTAGATACCCAGTAGTGGGATTGCTGAGTCCAATGGTAAATCTGTTTTTTGTTTTTTTTTTTCTTTGAGGAATCTCCAAACTGTTTTCCATAGAGATTATACTAATTTGCAGCCCACCAACAGAGGATAAGCATTCCTTTCTCTCTGCATTCATGTCAGCATCTATTGTTTTTTGACTTTCTGATATAGCCATTTTCACAGGGGTAAGGTGATATTTCATTGTGGTTTAACTTGCATGTCCCTGACTCAAGCATTATAAAAGCTATCCATATAATAAAATCATTTGTACCCCTGTAATAATTTGAAATTTAAAAAAATTACCATATGACCCAGTAATTCCACTTCTGAGCATATATCCCAAAGAATTGAAAGCAAGATCTGAAAGAGATACTTATACACTCATGTTCATAGCAGAATTATTCACAATAGCCAAAAGATAGAAGCAACCCAAATGTCCATCAATGAATGGATGAACAAAATGTGGTATAAACAGTGGAATATTATTCAGCCTTACAAAGGGAGGAAGTTATGACACACACTACAAAACAGATGAACCTTGAAGACACTATGGTAAGTGAAAGAAGCCAAGCACAAAAAGACAAATATGATTCCACGTATATGAAATATCTAGAGTAATCTAATTTATAGAGACAAGAAGTAGAATAGTGGTTGCCAGAGACTGGGAGAAGGGAGAAATAGGGAGTCATTGTTTCATGGGTACAGTGTTTCAGTTTTACAAGGTGAAAACAGTTCTGGAGATGGATAATGGTGATGGTTATACAACAATGTGAATGTAAATAATACCACTGAATTGTACATTAAAAAGTGGTTAAGATGGTAAATTTTATGTTATGTGTACTTTACCACAATTAAAAATAATTTTTAAATGTGGGAAAGAAAAGAAATTCAGTAGAACAACAGAGAAATTTTTAGAGAATGTGGAGTGAGAGTAGGGAGGCACCATGTTGTCCTAGTAAATTATTACAAAAAATAGAAAGTCTGCCTCAAATACCAAAATAGAAGGCTACTGCACGCAAGGTCAGTAAATTACCTCAACTGAGTATCTACGATGGAACAGATGTCAAAACCTATTACTTGACTAACACAGCAACTTAAAGGCCTAGCTGTGTATGGAGGGTTCTCTCTTTTAGATATAGGGCTAAAATGAAAATTTCCCAAGCGACTAACGTAGTTACCTAAGTCTGGCTTCTCTGAGGAGAAGGTATCTTGTCCATAGAACATAGAACTTCATGAATGCAAAAGAATGGTTTTACAAATAAATTGTGCAGAGGTTTAAATTGCCCAAAGATGGCCTTAGATAAGAATAGAGGTCCACAGAATAGTTTAGGGAATAATGGCCATGAAATGAAACCATGAAAAAAGAAACCCCTGGGCTGCTTAAACAATTTTCACAGTCATAAAAAACAAATGCTAGACATTTGGGAAAGCATTTTTAGGGCTTCAGCTCATTAATTTTCTACAAATAGTAATAATAATAATAGTTGATCCTTACTGAATGCTACAATGTACTAAGCCCATGGGTCAACTCATTAATTCTCACAACCACACAATGAGCTAATTGCTACAAGGATTCTTAGCTTGCATATAGGAAGAAGCTTAGATGTTAAATAATTAGCCTAACATCACATGGCTAGCACATGGTCAAGCCAGGTAATTGACTTGAGCCCATGCTCTTAACCACACCAGATAGAGAATATTATGAATGAAAATATCAAGCCTTTTCCATAAATAAAAATTATTGGCTCTGATCTGAGAAGACACAAATGAATATTGAGCACAAAGAAGAAAAACACTCTAAAATCTTCCTAACTGTTGGATGTAAATTTTAGTTAAGTTCACTGTGTAACTAAAGATACATATAGATTTCATTCTAACATGTAAATTAATTCATTTATACATTGTCTGTTTTATTGTCCCCATAAGTCCTGAGTTCAAAACCGTTTCAGGTATTATCATCTTCATATCTGAAATGGATAAAATAATTATTGCTTAACTATTACGGTAAAGATTATGGTGTACAGATGGGGCAAAAACCAAGAGAGCAGCTACCCTGTACAGGATGTTATTTCAATAAAGTTCAGTTTTGTCTGAGAATGTAAAAGCAATGCAATCTAATCTGGCGTGACCGAAATAAAGTACTTGGTTCTCTAAGTTCATTTAATTGAACGTGCTTGTACCACTTACAAAAAGTACCCTATTTTGACTGATTATTCCCACTAGTGACATTTACTAAGGGTTAGCAGGAAATCTCAAAAAGTCTATATAAATTGCAAAGCTATCTAATTTTTGAGCTCTCTTCAAAATTCATGATACTATGATTCTAATTTATTATATCTCTAAAGAAACCATCCACACAAGTAAGGCTGGTCTCCTAGATGTACCTTCCACATTCTTCACAATGTTCATTCTTTCATACATACCTTCTCTGATCATACCATTGTCCCTTAGATTGAAAGGACAAGGGAGCAATACATGTTCTGAAAGAATCACTCTTAAGAATTGTGTTTCCCTTCCCAGGCCCAACTGATAGAGATGGGATGATTCAGAAAGTATCTGCAACAACAGCTGAGTGTTTGGGAGGAAATTTTGCCATGCTGGAAAAGAGACAAACTGACAAAATGGTTTCTATTCCATCCATTCTGTTTAGGAAAAAAATCAAAAGGGGTTTTGGTTTGACCTCGTATCAAGGAAATGGTGTGACTATTTCTTTATTGGAGGGAATAATCTAAACCTGAATGCAGATTCCAGTGAACTACTTTAATCTTCCAAATAGAACATCTGGAGACTTAATAAACACAGATATGGAGGTTTCAATTATTTTTCTATAACATACTATAGCTATGCTAATCCAAAAATTTATACAAATGTAAACATCTAATTCTTTTATGAAAGAGAACAAGCATTGTTTGGGCACTTATGATGCAGCAAGTATTGAACTGGGTATTGATAGCGATGCCAGTCAGGACACAGGGAGCTCTTCAAGGGTAAGAATGATAACCAACATACTTCTGTATCCCAAGTGTCTAGTCCATTGCTATGAAATCTTTAGTAAATTAAATAAAATAGATTTAAAAAGTTTCCTAAGTTTTAAAACACCTGGTTATAATATTTTTCATTGTTTCTGAACACCAGATGGATGTAGCTTCTTTTTCAAATAGGTCCTAATTGGGCCTTGAATCCTTTGACACAAGAAAGGAGAATCTAAAAAGTTGACAAGGTTGGCCTCAGTAAGACGCAAACCTCCAGGCATATTCAGATGGATCAAATTCTCTTTTATCTTACTTAAAACACAAGTGCTTAAAAGAATGTGGCCCTGAGAGATTGTTAGTAAGACATGAAAGTCCAGCTCAAGAGGTGGACTCGTGAGAGGACATAGAGGATAAGCCCAGTCCTCCTTTGCTAGCAGAGGTCTCCTGTAGGGTGCCCAGATAGCAGAGAAACCACTAGAGAAGACAGGATGCAGCTGAGAAGACATAGGAGGTATTAATTGCGAATTTTCTGTGGAAATGGAAAAGAAAAACCAAATGTTTGTGATTTTTAAAAGTGGCAGAGGTGGGGAGGAGTACTGAAAGAGATAAAAGGACTCAATCACAAAATTTCTCTGGAATGTAGGTTTGTTTTGTTTTTAGGTAGTAAAGCTTTATTATAAAGCTACTCATTACACAGTATGTTCAATTTTCTTTGAGTCCTAAAAGGAAGTAGAATTGAATATACACCATGCGATTGCTCATTGAAACATAGGAAACGTGAATCATAGAACATCCTTGCCCTGGCTGCAGTTATTTATATATTTAAGATGTATATCCCATTGACTCCAAAAGGACTGAAAATAACTTACTGGTTAATACCCAATGTGATTTAAAGCAAACCAAAGGTCCTCTTAAGCAAGAGCAATTTCAGGGTAAACATATTCCTGTGCATTTAAAGGAATAGGTTGGTCAAACACTCTGATAAATTTCACAAAATTTAGCTCTTAATAGCCTGATATATTTGATAAATAATGCAAGAATATTAAGTTATAAGCAGTCTCATTTCCTGTCATAGGGAAGGATTTAAATCTGGGAGGGGGGTCAAAACCTTCCTTGGAATTAGAATCAAGGAAGAATTTATTTATTCCAGTAAAAAGGATGGTGTTGTCTTTAACCCCAATTCTACAGAAAACAGAGAAAGACTGTTTAAATGAATAATTTTCATGTCAAATCTTTACAAAATCAGAGAGTATCATAAACTAAAAGGCACTTAGGGCACTTCTGCAGAATAATATGAATAATATAGTTCAAATACTTTGCTTGACTTAATACAGGGATGAAATGTAAAGTCTCCAGTTCCATAGATAATTGACATGTTTTCTTAAATGTCAGCTGTTTTAGGAGAGCATTTGGCTGATGCTAAATTTATGATCAGATGCCCTAGTAATTGCCAATGGAATAAACAGTCTATATTGCTAATTAACTACATTTGCTAGTTATAATGGTAACTAACAAATGTAGAGCTTTTTTCAGTTTATCAAGCATTTTTACAACCATTATTGCATTAATTTTGTTTTCTTATCACCCTGTAAGACAGGTTCTAGCACTGGTCTTCTTTTAGAGACAAAGAAAGGAAGGCTCAGAATTGTTAACCTATAGGCCAAGATGGTATTAATATATCCAGTAAGGAATAGTCAGAACTCAACCCCAGTTTTTCTAACATAAAACTTTATGTCCCTTCCACTTTGTCACCTCTAGTTAAATATCAACCCAAAGTACGATTCTCTTATGAAAGAGGAAGATTTGGTTTGGAGCCAGATGAAAGTTTTTCTTCAGCAAGCTTTAGTCAACAATGTGAAGGAAGATGGGAGGAGGAAGCAGGGTGACCTGAAAACATGATTCTTCTAGGTGTAGACCAGATTCTGGCAGCCTTGTTGGCTATTGTAAGACAGAAAATTAGCCTCTTCTCAACCATTTATACTAATAATTGAAAAGCCAGACTTTGACATTATAGACTACATACCAAAATATTTTCTCAGAATTGCTTAAGGGAAATTTTAAAACTATTCTTTCTTTCTTAAAGAACTTCATCATCATTGCCACAATTCTATAACTTTTTTTATTGTTGTCAAAACATACCTTCTCAGCCCAATTACTAGAAAGTCCTCTTGGGGTAGGCATGAGTTTCTAACTCCCTTCCATCAGTTGGGGACAAGAAGGTTCTGCCATGTGATGAACTCTCAACTCAGTGTTCCTAAGCTAATTCGGGCCAGGAAACTGGTGGCATTTATTCCTTCAATAGAATTTTAGAGACACAGAGATAGGGAGTTTACAACGTGGCTGCAGAAAATAGTATACTCATTGCCTTCTCATCTGCATTTTTTCCCTTAAATTTACACATTCCTCAATTTATTCATTCATTCATTTATGTTGCTACGCCTGATAAGACAAGTTAACTCCAAAAGACAGCACCAAATAAGTGATTCTTGAAGAGATAACGGGTACTGATAACCTATTCTTTAAGGGCTATCTTTGCTTAAATTACAAAACCACTTTACCAGCATCAAAGGGGCTAATCTTCTCGGGAGAGAATGTGCATGCTAGCCATATTAAACCTATATGCTCCAATGTTGTAAGTGCCAGAGACTTAAGGATTGATTGATACATGTTACATAATGTTATAATTTCTGGCTTAAAGACCATTAGATAGACAATTTGGATTTCTTTTTTGATGAAGCAAATGGGAGAATGAGAAAGCTAAATGACCTAAGAAAATGTACAGAAATTCTCTCTAATACAATGCAAGAGTACCTGTGTATTTCTGAGGAGACTTTACATAAAGTCATGTAGGATGACTGAGGTTTTCCAAGTGTAAAACAGTGACATTAATATTCTTTTTTCATAGTGTGATAGTGGTGTCATCTAAGGCACATGGCTTTAGTATTTGCCTGAATGAAAAACCACTTAACTTGATAATATTGAGTACCTTAATAATAAGATCAAAAATAGATTGCATTAGAAGAGGCCACTGTAAGATTTACAGAGCAATCATTTATCAACCCAATAAATAATTATTGATTGAATGCATGGCTGTGATGGATGAGGATGCATTTTAAGTGCTAGGGATACAGCAGTGAATCAGATGAGTTCTTTGCCTTCATTGAGCCTATGGTCTAACAGGGAAGACAGACAAAAGAATCACAGAGAAACTATTTAGCAGGAAAGAGGAGAGGGGAAGGAGGGGATGAAGGGGAAAAAGAAAAAAAAAAGATTACAAATGTATTTATTACCACTGAACTGTACACTTAAAATGGTAAAGATGGTAAATTATATAATTGTACTGGGTGCTTTAATGGAAAATTAGAAAGGGGCTATTAGCAGATAAGACTTGAAAGACATAACTTAGACTGGGGGTCTGGAGAAATATGTGGTCAACACAGACCTCCTTGAGAAGTTCCTTTTAAGGAAAGTTCTACAACAGTGAGTAGCAGTTAGCTAGGTGAAAACTTCAGGGATGTGTATGTGTCCCTATGTGTCAGGGCATACATCAGGTAGAGGAGAAGATTCTAGGAAGAAGGGACAGCAATGTTTGATGACACAATGGGAAAAAAAGAAGGTCTGTGAGGTCTGTGAGAAGTAGTAACTTGGTGTCTAAGAGGAGAAAAGGTAGGGAATACCACATGGTCCAGATCCTGCCAGCCTTGCAGACTATTGTTAAGAGTAATGGTTGTCAATCTAAAAGCAGTCAGAAATCTTTTAAGGAGGGAATTACTATTATCAGATTTGTATTTTTTTTAAATTACTCCAACTGGAGACTAGATTGAGGAAAGTAAGAGTAGCTGCAAAGAGATCAGTTGGAGGCTATTGCTGGAGCTGGTACAAAAGATTACCAGAGTTTGGACTGAAGATTGCACTGGGCATGCAGAAGGAGAAAAGTGGAAGGACTATACAGGACCTGGAAGTTGATTGCATAGGGCAGGGAAGATGTGTAGGTTTTACACATGCATAACTCTTTGGAGGCAGATGCCATTTACTGAGATGGGAAACTCAGGCCTAAAGCCAGTCTTGAAATTAAATTATTTATATACACATACATACATATGTAAATTTAACCTTGGCAAACATAGTTATAGGAAGAGTGTACGTAAAAAATATATAATACTTGAATGTGAAATTAAAAGGAGTACGTATATCAATGTATCACGAAATTACTTTAAGGGTAATTCAGCAACTATTTATGAGTTCTTTGTTTTTTAGAATGCTAAGCTAATTAATATGGATATTTGTTTAAATTTTCCTAGCCCACTTTAAAATATTCCCATATTAAAAGAAAATAAGAAAGAGCTTTTCAACTCTGTATCTCAGATACCAGCTTTCCAGATGAAAAAGACTTGGTCTGGCCCATCTCTGAGAGGAATAGCAGATGTGATCTGAAAAAGTTAAGATTGGTTTGTCTCAATGAACATTTTTAGTTAGCTTATTCCTCTCAGGATATAGATTCTAGAGAGATTTTTCCATTGAATGCACCATTTAGATTTTAAAACAATGTCACTTACATTAGTAGTTAGCTATTTGACAAAATGACTAGGATCTGGAAATTATTTGGATATGAGGTGAGAAAGATCCCTAGGTTTTGGTCATGAGTAAAATAATAGTAAAAATTATAAAAATGGTAGTAACATTATAGAAATTTTACAATATCTAGGATACTTCCATCTTCACAATCTCCTATGATTACGGTTGGTATATATATCACCAGGAAAACACAATCACAAGCTAAAATCCTACAAAATGTACTGAATTCTGGAGCACAATAACTTGTGTGCCCTCTTAAAGCTTAGGAAA